AACTCTGATGTCTTACAGGTTTTTTTTGTTTCTGTATTTTGCTGTCTTGTAGCAGTATTGTACCGTGTTACAGACACCCAGTTGCTGGTAGGTATGTGCACCAACTGAAACAATCCTGTTGTGAGCCATAAGAATAAAAATGACTGTGATATAAAGTACCTCTCCTACAGGATCTCCTCCTGGATACCTATTTTTCCATCTTCTATAGCACTTCAGCAATTCATAACAAACTCTAATTGAGGCAGTTTTGGGGAAGTGCAGACTCAGGGTTGAATTTACTACTTGTGCTGCAGTTTGGAAAGCTACACGTGCAAACAAACAATTTTTAACATTGGGTCTATGCAGCCTATATAGGTCTATACAGTGTCTCAAGAGAAGTGAAAGAAACAGCTGATGTACTACTAATATACACAGTTGTGACTGCCCAGCCAGAAAGGCTGCCCTATATTAGCTAGGAGTTACTAGAACATGCTGCATTGCACAACTCTAGTTTCCTGAAAAACAGGGTGGCACCTGAGCTGATGACGTCAGGTTAAAGTTCGATTTTCAAAAAACCACATCCAACACAATGCAGAGACCAGCAGAAGCTTTGCCAGCTGACATCACAAAGGCCCTTCTGACCACTTGGCCAGCTCTGATGTCCTGGCAGAGTCCAAACGAGTTCATGCCTCTGTTGATTTTGAGGTACAGGCCTCCTCCTTGTGACAAACACAAAAGCACAAAACAGAAACTATCTGGGTGCAAGTTCATGTAGAACACCCTTTATATAAGACTACTCTGCATAAGATGGAGCTCCATTCTCGCTGAAGCCCAATGCAATACAATGGCATATAACACGGTTGAATTTGATCCACATCAGCAAACTTGCTGAGGATGCATGCCATCAAGCATCCAGATCACTGATAGAAATGTTGAACAGAGCTGGCCCTAGAACTGAGCTCTGGGGTCACTCCTGTGACTGGCTGCCAGCCAGATATAAAGAAGGAAATTAATAATCCACTTCTGAATAACATCTAGTCAGATTATATAGACCCATCGAGTGTTTCATTCAGGGTCTGATCATCCTACAAATGCACTGAACTGAAATCCTGTCCTTATTACAAAATACAAAGAAGCTCGTGGGCTATGGAACATTTATTTTCTTAAAATAATTGAGGAGACCATTAATATCCTTGCCATTTGTGTACAGCAAGCTCAACTGTTACAAATGGGATGAATAAGATGACTTTTGAAGTAAAGTAAGAAGACAGTTCAGAACTAATGGTGTTAGAATTTGGGAAAAGATGCTATTAATGTAGTGTACAAACTGTGATAAACCTGCATATCTATAAATCCCTGTAAATTATTAAATATCTCTTAGTAGTTATTAGTCATTCAAGTTTTCTGATAAGCTGTTGCTACAGGAGATTTTCTTAGTTAAAACTTGAGTGGGAAATTGCAGAGATATGGTATATTTGAACTAGATACATTCTATGTAGTAGAGTACTTTCCGTCTGGACAGATAGGAAAACCTTCTAGTTTTGGTCTTGAAAGTTTGAAGCTAACATCAAAATTGCATAAAAAGAAATGATGACACGTATATGAATGGCCTTTGGGATTAAATTGTGTGGCTGAATCCTCCAGTTACATGACTCTAGTTGTCTGCAAACTAATATTGTTATGTTCATTTTGTGTCCAGTGATGACCATTGATCCAAGGAGCTCAGTGTATTTATTAAACTGCACATCAAACAGAGCTCCCTCCCAAAGCAGCAAACCAAAATCTCTGATCTAACAAGTCCTGAGAAACACATCACCATGCAGTCACGGTCAGAATGGAGAAAGCGATGCTGGGAATCACTTACCACTGATTTGAGCATTCCTATTTTTCTCATGTCGCTCAGTAGTCATCTCAGGATGAAAATGCTCCTGGAGGATGTGTGTGTTGAATGCAGGATGGGGATTAGAGGGACAAGGGAGGAAGATGGGAAACATGGAGGGGGATGAAAAATGAAGGTGCTCAGCTGATTATTTATGTCAAATGTCCTTTAATATAACTGGCAGAGTTTCAGGGAATGCCAAAAGCCTGTGAATCTGCTGTCTTCTACTAAAAATGCCCCCAGTTCTATCTCGGTTATTTCTTGAATAACAAAAGCAATGAATAGTACTTGGAAGTACCCTGGGTACCCCATTCTTTTAAGAGAATCAATTCTGAAATATTTCAGAGACAACAATGAATGCCTCCTAAATAATGCCCCCTCTCATCAGTGCGTGTCATAAAGGTTTATCCAATTGCAGATCACACTCAGTTTCACTTTGAGCCAATGACTAACACCAACACTCCGGGACTCCTCCTTGTGTGCTGCTGCTTCCTTTAAATTCTTTTCATGCAAAACGAAAAGAATTTAATTCCTGTGGTCTTAACTGCTTTTTCTAAATTTCTGTGAACAGTAGTCCTTCTTGCAGGCCTGTCTCCCAGACTTGCAGAGCATATAAGGAATGCATATTAATTTCCACAGTACTGCTTAATTTTTTAACAATATTTACAGCATGTTTCTCTTTTTACAGTCCCTTATTTTGCTTAATTCTTTCACATTCCTCTTCAATTTCTATTGCTCCAGGCGGTTTTGCATTATCAGCAAACAGCACATTTTTCCCCTTTGCTGCTTAAAACTTTGGCTTATGGGGTCAGGAGCAATGGCGACTGATTTAAGGGTGCAACAGTCACTCACAAAAGCCATCAGCTCCAGCACCAGCACATCCTGCAGGGTGCAGGGATGGAGGCACCAGCCTGTGCTGGTCAAATCCCAGGGGAGCAGTCCCACCAGGAGCTGGTAGTGCTCAGAGGGCATCTGACAGGATGTGAGAGACTGGCAGTGATGGTGGCCATTGCCCATATGGCCCTTGAGAGCACTGGGCCAGCACTGGGCAGTCAGAACTGCTCAGCCTAGGGACAGAGCTCTTAGAGGTGGTGGGCAGGCTGAGAGGCATGAGGACCTTGCTAACTAGAGCCCTGAGCTGCCTGACGTCTGCTCTGCCCATATCCAGGGCTAAAGTTTTGGTGACAGGTTTCCTTTTATCACTTAGGATGGACAAGGATAAGGGTGGTTGATCTAGAGGTATCTTTTAGTTCTTAAAGAATAATTCATTGGTGTCATTGTCCTGACTAAGTAGCCCATAGCAGTGTTCCATAACATCCCCTTATTTGCTTGTCCTTTCATCCTTACCTAGATGCTGCCAACTGTGCCATCACCACCTGCCAGCTCTGTACAGCCCAGCCCCTCCCTCACACACAGCCATCCCCCACCTTACCTGCACTGCCTGTCCTTGCAGAAAGGCCCAGAACGGTCCATTGCAACACACCAGTCACAGGGTTCTGCCCACCAGGTTTCACTGATGCCAGTGATGTCGTGGCTCTGGGACTGAGCCAAGGCTTCTGGCTCCTCTCACTTGTTTCTCAGTGCATGCTGCATGCACTGATGTAGCAACATTCCAAAGGTGCTTCACCCTAGTCAGCACCTGCTGGAGCAGGATCTCTCTAGCACGCAGCCCTGAAACAAGCTGCTCACCTGGCCAGTCTTTGTTTCAGCTCGGTTAACCCCAGGTGCCACACACACGTAGAATGCCTGAGCTGTGTCTCACTTCCAGGCACAGTTGACAAAGGGCTTACGTTGCATCCTCTTTTGGTCAAAGTCAGTGTTAACAGCAGAGTGACCCAGCACAGCTGTCTGTTCTGTTTGTGGCCTTCTTGCAGCGCACTGCAAACCTCAGCTCAGTAACTCCATGGCTTACTTCCATTACAACGAGGGTGTCTAACGATCCAAAGGGTGGCACACCAGCTCCCTGGGACTGGCCAGTTACGGGACTGCCCTACAAACAGCCCAGCTGAGCTGAAAGCAGAGCATCAGTGATGAGCAGCTGACAGCAAACTGCTATTAGTCATGTTTTCCATTGGCACCACTGATGCCACAGAGTGTCTGTCCTTCATTCCTGTTCCTACAAAGCTCCGAACTATGAACAAATGCTGCATGCAATGCCAGGAGCTGGAGGAGTCATTCACTGGCAGGCCGCAATTTGGCAGCGAGGCTTCACACTCAAAATAAAACAAAGGATGTACAACAAACGAGTGTCTCTCCCTGAGAAAAAGAACAGTTTAAGAACAAAGTGTTTTTGCAGTCATCCATAGAAATCACCACAGACAATGGTGATGGTGTGCACAGAGAGTTTGGAAAAGGCCTCAGATACAGGTCTGAGCACAGTAATACAGGGTGTTGTTAGCAGGATGCTGGTGGCCATGTGTAACCCTCGGAAAATAGAGCTGATGGGAATTCAACTGGAGTCTTATTAGATGTTCTGAGTGTCGGGAAAGGCTGCACCTGCACGTGCAGAGCCTTTGGCCTTTATTTTCTGTGGGCACTGCTGGGACCAAAAGAGGGGGAGAAAAAGCGACTGAAGAGACCGGTTTAGAAAAAAACCCAACCTTAAAAAGGGAACGGATTTGTCGGTCCATTCACTGGCCTAGGGTTTTGTCCTAGCGTTCAAGCCTCAAAGCTTTCCTCGGCAGACCCCATCTGGGCACGAAAGCCGCGCTCCTCGCTCTCAGCCGCAGCGGGACGCTTTGCTCCGCCGCCCACGGGCCGCTCGGCCGCCGCCCCGCGCCAGGAGCCGCTGGCTCCGCGGGTGTGCGGGGCCGTCCCTCCGCTCTCGTCCAACGGCCGTAAAACCGAGCACGTTGCTAGCAGCTCGCTCCTCCTCGCTGTGGTAACCGCGGCCCCCGGCGGGACCCGGCCGCGAGGCAGCGGGGGACGACGTGCCCGGCCGCCCGTCGCACCTCCCCGTACTTCCTTATTGTTTGCGCCCGGGGAGGTCCGGCCCCGCCCGCGGCGCGGCGGCCGCAGCCCTGCGGGGTGGCTCCGGGCCCGACGGGGACGCGCCCCCCGCCCGGGGCTCTCCGCGGGGCCGCGGGATAAAGCGCTGCGCGCCCGCCCGCCGCCGCCACAGGGCCCGGCGGGGCGGCCCGCCATGGCGAGCCCCGCGCGCCCGCAGCCGGAGCCGGCGGCCCCCGGGGCGTGGGGCGGCGGCGCGGCGGGGGAAAGGCTGCTGCTGCTGGAGCTGCGCTGCGCCCGGTCGCCGTCCTCCGGCTCGGAGGAGGAGGAGGAGGAGGAGGCGGGGGAGGAGGCGGCGGCCGCGGGGGAGGACTGTTGCCCCAAGTGCAAGAAGCGGGTGCAGTTCGCGGACTCGCTGGGGCTGAGCCTGGCCAGCGTGAAGCACTTCAGCGACGCCGAGGAGCCGCGGGTGCCGCCCGCGGCGCTGCGCCGCCCGCACAGCCCGCCCGCCGAGCCGCGCGACCCGCCGGAGCCCGGCGCTGCGCCGGGGCCGCCCCGCCAGCCGCCCTCCCTGCGCCTGGAGCCCGACTTCCCCGACGGCGGCGAGCCGAGCGCCGAGCGGCTGCGGCGGCAGCGCGTCTGCCTGGAGCGGCTGGGGCGGCCCGCGTTGCCCTCCGACGTGCGGGGCACGGTGCGGGCGCTGCGCGGCTCCGGGCGCGGCGAGGTGACGGTGCGCTACACCTTCAACGAGTGGCTCTCCTTCATGGACGTCCCCGCCTCGCCGCTGCCCCCCGCCCCCGCGGACGGCTCCGAGCCGCCGGCCGAGCGCTTCTCGTTCGCCCTGTGCGTGCCGCCCAGCCTGCGGGAGGGCTCGGCCCTTCACTTCGCCATCCGCTACCGCGGCGCGCACGGCGAGCACTGGGACAACAACGACGGCCGCAACTACACGCTGCGCTGCCGCCGCGACCCCGAGGGCTGCCCGGAGGCGGCCGCCGCGCCCCGCGACTGAGCGACAGCCGTGCGGCCGTCGGGGGGCTGAAGTAGGAACGGGGCGCTGCGGGACGGTTCCGCGTCGAGAGAACGAGGAGGCTGAGCGGGACCTCCGTGCCGCTCCCCGCCCTGCCCGAGGCCCGGAAGGACGTCCGCGGATGGGGCCCTGCCGAGCACGGGCTGCCTTCGCCGGGGCGGAGGAGCAGTTAAAAATAGTGGCCGATAGCGAGTTATCGGGAGAGCTTCGATAACAGCACCCCGCAGTCACGTGCTGTGCGCTGGAAGATGGTGTCTGTCTCGCAGGCAGTTCGGTGCGGCTGTGCTGGGGAGGGCGATGACATGGACGGCCTTGTGACAGCACAGTGACAGTGTGGTAGGGAGGGGATCTCGCTAAGCAAATGCTTCGCTTCAGCTCTCCTTATGTTACGTTTTGCACCACGCTTTCAAGTGCTTTTAATTTATTCAGCTCATTTTGCAACATCTTTTCCAGTATTCGTGCTTTGTTGGGTTTGGGCACTTAACCTACAGCCTTTCACTCTTGCATTGCATTGCACTGCACGCCTTGAGGTTGGCACTGCTGTGTCCCAAGTCCTGACATTTGGCAAAAAAGTACCATTTCAAATGGCTTTGTTAGAATAAAACACTTTCGGAAAGCTCACCGACACAAACCCTTTTTTTCTGCATCTTCTGAACAGCAGAACGTGTGTGTTAATCCTGCCCTGTGCCCTGTCGAGGCAGCTCATGCAGAGCTGCGGTGTAAGGAGGCTCTTCTGTCACAGGGTTCTGTGGAAGATGTGATGGCTGCTCTGCAGCTTGACTTGTATTATTTTAGTATTATTATTATTATTTTTTTTTCCTGATGAAAAAACAGATGAGGTGTTACCTGGGTGCAGAAAATGCTGTGGCATATATATCCCATACCTGAAATGAGTCTTCGGCTAAGCTGCCTTTTCTGCAAGCTGGTGCAAAGCTGTTGTGCACTGCTAGGTTACAGGACATGGAGTAACGCAGTGTGCATTAGCCGCTGGTAGTTGTACCAGTGAAATAACATGCTCTTAAGCTGATATGTGATGCCAATCGAGATAGGTGGATTGTTCTTTTAAGTACAGTGTAACAGCTCAGACTCGTGCAGTGCATTCCTTATTCTGTGTTTTGTTCATGAAATGCTTTAGAGAAGAAGTTTCACCAATGAAGGGCTGGCCACATAGAAGAATTGTAGCTGCAGGCTGCAGTTATGTGTAGAGGGTGAGAAACATTTTCTGCTATTCTGTAAGCTATGGATAATGGATGTGAAACATCCAGAAAGTGTAACATTTACGTGTAGTCTGAAATCCAAAATGCAGGGGTAAAAATATCCTGGAAATGATGATTAAAGCAGAACATTTTTATGTTTGGCAACAAGTAAAATGCTTTAATTTCTTACGCAATTCACTCCTTGTGAAAGAGGAAACTTCTCACAGACAGGACTCAAACATAACCACTTTTTAATATGCAGAATGATTTTTCCCCCTGTATTTTAGTGCTGCAGGCTGTGGAGACACAAGGCCACACTGTTACATGGGTACATAAGACATGTATGTACCAAATGCTGGCATCCGAGAACCAAAATGGCACAGGGTTGGTGCTCGTGGTCATAGCTTGAGATTCACTGCTTGTACCTTCATTATCAAAGAAATATATTCAAATTGAATTAGTTCTAATTATATAAAATGCGAAAGTCCAGTAGAGTCAGATGTTAAGTGAAACATGCTTCTTGTTTGGTTGCATTACTATTAATGTAAGATTCTATAGGGATTGGGGGCATAAGTTTTGCAGAACGTGCTCATAAGCACATTCCCCACCCCAACGTCAGAAATAAAAAATAATACAGATTTGGTAGCACTCTTGGATAAACTGCAGCTGTAAAGATTTCCAGTTCATGCAGATTTCTTCTTTTCTTTTTCCCATGGTCTAAGGGCATAATGGAAAAATAGATATAAAAGTTTTTTTTATAGGTGTAAATATAATAAATAGCAAATAGTTGGACCTCTATATTGGGTTACTGTGAAGGATGTCAAAGTAAGTGGGTGTTTTTTCTTTATAACCATGTTTATATTCAGATTGAAATCAGAAAGGACTGAAGTTGCCCCGAAGCACTACAGACTTGCATGCAGGCTGCTTCTGTTTCATTTGAAGCTTTCAGTCAGAGCTTGAAAGTGAGGCGTTTGCTCCCATTGACTTCCTGGGATCTGGATCCATCCCAGGTACTGCACAAAGACGGGAAATGATTGAGGTTTAATTGTCTGTTGCCAGACCTGTGTTATGTGGCACTGTGATGAATGTTCATCTGCGAGAGCTGAAAACCTGCCATCTAGGCCTGGCAGTAATTAAATCACCTTAATTGTTTTTATGATTCTTTCTAAGAGAGGAAAATTACTTGCCTTGCATTAGCATATTTCCAAAGGCTGGTATAAATATTTATGTGGTGCACTCTTTTAGTAGAAAGCCTGTGCATTCTTCACAGGTTTCCACAGTTCTCTTCTTCTGAATGTAGAACAGTCGTATGAATGCACTGCTTACATCACTTCCTCACACCCCTTGTGAAGCTTCAGTAGTTAATGGGCTTAATGGTAAAAAAAAAAAAAAAAAGGAGAGTTGTTTAGAAAGAAGCATCTCTTACATTAACGATGCTCTGTGTAACCTGCTGGCTTTTTTGGAGGTGCATACATCTGTGAAACAGGTTTGAGAGTTCCTGGTTTTTTTCCTCTTACAATTGTAGAAAATATATACAGCGTTGGAGGAATGACTGCTTTCTCTCTTTTTTTCTGCTTCCATATTAAGGGCTCATGCACACGTTTTACTTTCTACAATACTGCAGTAAGAATACAAACTCATGGGAAAAAGAACTACACACCTTCAATCTTTTTTTATAGATGTCATCAAGCAAAACATTCCCAAGAGTGTGAAATAGTTTTGGCCGTGTTAAGAACTAGGAACAAAGCAATGAATATGCTCATGGCTTCAGTAATGCCAGGAGTTCACTGTAGATCATCACACAGTCATAGAATCCTTAGAGTTTGAAGGGACCCTTAAAGGCCATCTAGTCCAACTCCCCTGCAATGAACAGGGGCATCCACAGCTACATCAGGTTGCTCAGAGCCCTGTCCAGCCTGGAAAACAGTCAACATACAGCTCCTTTCTGACCCTTTATATGCATATCCTTACTAAATCTGTCTAGAGAGATGCATTCATGTTGCCTTACAGAAAGTAAGTTGAGGGGGAAGCGTTTCTCCATAGAAGTATTCTTTCTTCTACCTGCTGATGTTAGAAGATACAACTAATACTTCTAATGATTGGAAACGTGGTGAAATTTCATACAGAACTATCTTTCTGCAGATGTGAGTTGTAGGTTAAAATCCTTCTTGGTCTGCTTCACTACTGGGTATAAAGTGTTCACGTGCTACTCCAGGTTGCTTTACTTCAGGACAGCTTTTTCTCCAACATATGTAGGTACTGTGAAATTGGGCTTTCAACTGCGGTAAAATCTGGTGAGCAGTGGTAACACAGCAGAAAGGCCTTTCCTTTTGACAGTTACTCATGTTGAAGGAGTTGTTCTTTCTTTTTTTTCTTTCAGAGAGCTGTTTCCAGGTTTATACTGTAACATTCATCACAAACCAATTTTGGTGATACTGCTGAGATAAATAGTTTGTTAAAATGATCAGGGAGAAACTTAAAATTTTTAATACAAGCAGACTTGTTTTGATAAAACATTGCAGCTTTAGTAGATACTTAGCAAGCTGCCTTCTTTTATAAAAGATATACCTTCTATAATAGTAGACGTATATAAATCATGGAAGCATTCTTTTGCATTTTATCACTTCTCACCATTTACACTGATTTGACAAAATCCAGCAAAACTACTGATAGGTGCCAAGAAGGATTTCCTGAGTACTGCACTGTAAATACTGCTGGTGGAGCACAGAAGGTGCAGCAGGAAGAAGATAGAAATTACCAGGATGCACCAAAATGCCAGCTCCGGAATACAGTCTCCATCAGTGACAATAAGAGCAAGCTTCACAGAACTGGAACTTGTCCCAGCCTACAACTATTTCTGTTCTGTGCTTGATAAGCCAGGTGTGGCTTCTAAGTATGTTCCTTCCATAGTTTGTAGGATTTCAACAATAAAGAATTTGATAAACTATGTTTTTATACAGAACTAAGTACACTATGAGAAAAACTTACAACAGACTTTAGGCAAGGACAAAATCGTATTTCTGGGCATCTTCCAATCCTGTACAACTAATAGGCACATAACTGATACTAATGCAGAGTGCACTGTGTGTGTGTTGATGAGCAAAGAAGTCATAGATCTGACCAAAATAGGTAACAGATATCTAAAATGTTCTAATAGTGTGGGATTTGAGGAGTAAACACTAATATCTTCACTAGCTTTGCATTCCTGTTTACAAGTTAATACAACACAGGCTTTTGGTCCTGAGCAGCAGAAGTTTCTTAATAAGTGATGTATATATACTATATAGTAAATTCATGGTTAATATGGAGTTAAGAATTGATTTTTCCTTGACTTGAGAAAGTGAGCTGTCTTAACCTCTGCACTACAGATGGGGGAGACAGGGAAATTACAAGGCCTGAATTTCATTTATGTCTTCTGGGTTTCAGTAGAATGCATCCTGAAAATAACTAATGCACCTTTGCAAGTAATAATGGCTAGGGGAGAACCTGGTTGGCAATGCTGAAACAAAAAAGAAGGAACAGGTGGCACAAATTAGGAGTAAAGCAGCGATTTATCCACCACCAAAACTTAACAGAAGAATTTTCAGGCATTAAAACATAGAAGTGATCTTCATAATCTTAAAGCAATTTTATACTGACAATTGCACTTTCATGACGAGGTGCAACATCTACAGTTGTACTCCTGGTGGAAACTGAGCCCTAAAGGCCCTCACAGGACAGGTACTAATATTTTGAAAGAAATTATTATGTATTTAAAAGACTTGTCTTTGAAGATCTTTTTTTTTTTTTTTTTTTTTAACTGATATTTAGATAGCAAAAAGCCTACAATTGCAATCATGCCTCTTCATAAATCAGGGCTACACTGTTTACAAGGACGTTTATTTTGTTTCCTAGCTTACATTCTCATACTTTGGTCCTGTAGGCTGTGCTTGTTCCAGCCCTGAAGCTGTTCTAAAGAAGAACTGGCAATGCTTCTAAGCCAGCGTTCTCAAGTGTCAGATGTTACTATATTTCTTCAAGTTCACTGGAAGTTTAAATAATAACTCTTTTCTCCTCTACACTTTCTTATCAAGAAGTGTGTTTAATTATCTGGTTGTGAATATGGAGATTTTAAAATGAGAATCAACTGTGTTCTATCTGTTAAAACAGTTACATTTCTTTTTAATGGTCACTAAGCACAATTGACAATGCAGTACTTATAGACCTAATACAAGGAGAATTATTACTGTACTCACTTCTTTTTTTTAATGAGAATGAAGGCTACCTTTGTAGTCTCAGGCCTCATATCTTGTGCTGTACACTATATTGTTAATGGAAAGCAGTACAATGCATTTCAACTGTACAGAATTATACAAAACACTTTAGATGGTGGTGAGGACTGGGCTTTTGTTCTAAATTAGACACTTTGTCTTCTGCTTTAATAATGTCATGGACAATGCAAAAGAAATAAGGCCTGAGTAATGATGAACTCTGAGAAGTAAGAGAAATGAAAGGAGGATTTTAAAGGCCATGGTGTCATGGAACTACTTTGGAGTTTTGGCTTCTCTTTAAGCAAGAACAACAAAACCCAGCAAAACAATTCCTTGGGGGGCGGGGGGGGGGGAAGAAAAAAGCAAGCCTTTTCCATATACTATTAAAAAAACATTGCACAGATTATTTTTTCCTCTGGTTTCTAACAGAAACCAAAGCAAGCACAGCACTGACTGAAACAGAATTTGATTCAGCTTTAAAAAACAAACAAGCAAACAAACATGTAGTTTTAAAAATGTTGACTAATCTACAGATTTAAAGATTCAATAAAAAGCTGTGTGTTCCACTTCTGCTGAGTAAAGCTTGCTTCCGATTCAGACGTATAGCACTTCAGTTATAGGTGGGCTGTTGGCCTTTTTCTCCTGGTAAAATCAGGAGCTTTGTGAGAAAGGAAAGCTTTGCATGAAATGATTTGGTACTTTCTGCCAGTAGCTGTGCTTCAATACATTTAGAAAAGGAAAATAAAATCTAAAGCACCCAAGCCTCAGTGATGGAAGTTTTACATTCTGCTACTGCTATCTCTTCGTTGCTAAAAGTAGGGTAAGACTGCTTGTTGACTCTTGGAAACTGAAGAAAGAACAAATGAATTCTTTTTGTTAACTGCTCAAATGTCAAAGAATCTTGCTCTGCTCATCTCATATGGTTTTAATACTTAAGATAAACTATTTAGAGATTAAATTTAGATGCTGTACATTTTAAAATTTAACAGGATTAATAAGAATTTACTCTTAGTAATGAAGTGAAAGGTTTTACATCTAACATCTTTCATGCCTGGTGAAAGAAAAGGGCAGCAGCAGAAGAATGTGTCTGGTTGCAGGTAGGTTAACAAAGTTTTATTGATGAATAAAGCAGGAACTATTTAATCACAAGGAACACAAAAGCAAACAGACTTCAGGACTACCGTACACACTGTTGTAAATCACAACAGTATATTTCAGAATGTGCAAACCATAAGAAAATAGTACTTTGGTTGCCAAAAACAGAGTCTCTCAGACATTTGTTATGCTGAACAGAATAGGCCAGATGTGCAGTGACGTTATGCATCTGTATGTGGCACTGAAAGATGCTGAAGATGGTCCAGGGTTGCTTCAGGATCAGAGCCTTCTCACAACTATGTGTTTCCTGGACTCTCAATGACCAATTTCTGTGTGGCATACATCTGGCCGATGGTAACCTGAAATCAAACCAAAATATTAGCAAGCCAAATCCAGAAAATAAGCACATCATAATTTCAGCTTCAAAAAGGAGATTAAAAACAAACCAAGAAATGTGCAGCCCAAGAAATGTATTAACTTTTTTCATAATGACATTATTTCTATAAGCATCTTTTCTAAATAAGAACCTCACCTTAGCTCATAACCAATATGTAAAATAGCTGTGTACCTAAAATCTTGAAATAATTGGGGAAACAGAGGGATACTGTTCAAAGGCACTCATTAACAGTTAACGACAGAGCAAAAGCAAACAGCCTCCATATTTAGAACAAGGGAAAGATGAATATTATCGGCCTGTATTTTTGATTACGCTTTTGGGTGAACAGCCAAGTTATAAACTGCATGCTAGGGTGTTACTTTCTAGTCTGTGTGGAACCCCAGTTTGCTTCACAAAGGGTCAAACCATTGCCCGTACAGTTAATTCAGCAGTAAGATTTTACACATGCTGGAGCTGACCATGAGACAGTATTCACACCTCATGCATGTGTGCAATCTAGTGAAATGAGGAGATGAAAAATACCAAAAATTCAACATCAGTGTTGTCTTGACTCCTCTTGTCCTTTTCTGGTCTGCATTGTAGCACTGCTAAATTGTGGTTGGTGACAGCAGCCACAGAGCTTAATAGCTGAGATGTGGATGGAAGTTTTGTGCAAGTAGGCTTGTG